AAGAAGTATGAGTGTAACTTAAGTGTTGATTTAAAAAATAATAGTAAAATATATGTTATCATCTGTGTCTTGATTCAGTTATCCTTCTATTTATTTCCTCAAATGACTAAGATTTAAAATATAACTGTCTCTCCGTGCAGGGTAATGTAGCTCCACCACCTGTGGCTCCTCAACCCACTTCAGCTGTGAAATTCAATCCAACCAATCCTCCTGCTTTGAGAAATGTGGGAAAATATCAGCAGCCTACCTTGGGCGCCCATTTGTATCCTGTATGTTATATTTTATTGGGGTGGTTTTAGGCAGTGAGGCATTTCTTTGTTGTCTTCAACATGACTGGTCTTGCTTAATACCTTATTTGCATGCTGTTTCAGGGGCCTGCTAACCCTAGCTTCTCTGCCAGTCCCAATCTGCCTGGTTCCTATGGTGCCGACCCATCTCAGGTCAATAATATGCCTCCGGTTATTGCACCATCCCAAAATTCTAGAGGATTTACTCCTGTTAATAATCCTGGATTTCCGAGACCCACTATGAGTCCTATGCAACCTCCCAGCCCTGTTCAAACAGCACCTGTCCAACCATCTTTTACTTCAGCTGCTCCCCCACCTACAGTGCAGACAGTTGATACTTCTAATGTGCCAGGTATGCTTTTATGTTCATTTATTTTGATATGTTTGGTTCATTTTGCCATTACTATTGTCCTATCCCAAACCATCTCTTCTCTGTTTAGTCAATTTATTCAGATTATAGAGTTAATGCGTTCAGCCTATTTCCTTCTATATCAAACATTTAAATGAGCAAGTAGTGGCCCCTTCTCGATGGAGGGCTGCTTAGGTCCTTGTGTCGTCAAACTAAACTTCATGGTCAGATTACATATGCGTCTATACAAGCTGTTAGGTGGAACATAAAATGGAGAAACATTGTTAATGTTCCACAAGACACTAAACCTCTTTTTATTATTTACTATGATGATGCCTTGAACTAGAAAAGGCATAGTATATGCCTATATAAGACCATTGGCCTTAAAAATGGTACTTGAATTTTGATTTTGTCTTCTAATTTATTCTACAAAAAATAGACATGCAAGCAAAAAGTACGTTTCATTGAAATACTGATTTTGGATATGTGCTGCAGCTCAGCAAAAGCCCGTTGTAATGACTTTGACAAGACTCTTCAACGAGACATCACAAGCCTTAGGAGGATCACGAGCAAATCCAGCTAAGAAACGCGAGATTGAGGATAACTCAAAGAAGTTGGGCGCCTTGTTTGCTAAACTCAATAGCGGAGACATATCTAAGAACGCCTCAGAAAAGCTCATTCAGCTTTGTCAGGCTTTGGACAATGGTGACTTCAGTACTGCCCTTCAAATTCAGGTAGCTTTCTGGCCAATTCTTGTTTCTTTCGGTTGCAATGTTGGACAAGAAATAACCTCTTGTTTGGACAGATTCATCTCACGACAAGCGATTGGGACGAGTGCAACTTTTGGCTTGCTACACTGAAGCGAATGATCAAGAGCAGGCAGAGCTTTAGATGATTGATAATTAGATTCTCTTTTGAATCTTTTACCAATCATTGGTTTGTGGGAGTGGGCCCATATCTTCATCTGTGTGTACACAAGTATTGCATTCAAATTGATTGTGGAGTTTTCTCATGCCATCTTCCTCTTTTCACCCAATCTGTATTGACTGCCAGTGTTAATTTTTTTTAGAAGGGGAGTAGTATATACTATATAGTCTAGACAGACAATTTGATTGCTTTTTTTCCTTTATAGTATGTAGTGTTGAAAATATAGCATTTTTTGTTCCCAAAATACATATTTTATGTTGTAATTCATGAGTGAAGAAATTGTGACATAGGCCCCTTAATTGGACTGTTGTTTTCTTAATGATTGTTGAATTTATTAATACGAGTTATATGTACTTCTATTGTTATTATTATTTTACTTCCCGTGGTATGTTATGATTAATTAATTTAGAAAAAGGGTGAATTATATTACTTATTTGTTTTTCTAATAAAATTTAAATATGCGGTTAACCTTTTTTTTGCCTAAATTTTATTCGAAATAAAAATTAAGGTGGAATTTTACCTCTTATTATTACTTTGATGTACTTTAATTGATTATTAATCTTAACATTGAATTTGTGTATTATTTAATAATATTATTGATGATGTCTCGAAGTCCTAATTCTCTCGAAACCTTGCTTCTCTTTTGGGCGTTTCTTCATCTGGTGGCCGCCGGTCACCTATTTTTTGTTTTTGTTTTTGTTTTTTGCTTTTTTGTTTTGTTTTTTTTTTTGTTTTTTTTTTTTTGTTTTTTTTGTTTTTTTTTTTGTTTTTTTTTTTTTAAGTTTCATAATAAAGGCCTGTGCCAATTCAGCTACCAACCTTTCAAGTAAGTTGCGGTAGTTTCAAAGATCTAAAGCTTAACGATTTCGCCAAATCTGGATAAAGAAGTTGTATGATTTCCATGGATCCGTAAAATAAAGTTCAAGAGGTTATTGTTGCTTCTCTTTTCTTTTGTGTCTATTTTTCTCTCTCGTTTATTTTGGCGAGTTTGTTTTCATCTCGTTTCTTTTGGCAAGTTCTTTTCTTCATAAGTGTGAAATATATAAGTTGATCATGTCGTATGTGAACTTCATCCTGATGACAAAGATGACAATTGAAAAGAGCATCTCCATCTCAACTCGATGGATATATTGTCAATGAACGACAGATGGAAAATATATACTCAGGTGGTGTGCAAGACTTTTCAACCAAAGTTAGTCTTGACTACGTTTGATCAATTTTTCAATGATATTAAATAAGCGTTAAATTCGAATTCGACTTCATATTTGTGAAACAGTATGCGATTCAAGTTCTTTGTAGCATTGCTAGGGAAGTCGTTTCTATATTTGACGGTAAAGAATGACATCGATCCTATTTGTAATCGCTTCAGCTTACGATTAAATGAATGAGCTTCTTTATTTTAAAAAAAATAATATTATTGATGTAATTTCTAATTATAAGTTTTATTAACACTAATTAATGCTTTACCTTTAAATACTTTTCTCACAACATGCAAAATTCTATGAAGATGATGGTGGCTTTGAGCCAATATGATATTGGATGGGACTCTGACTCAAATCATTCCATGGTCCATCCCTTTAAATACTTTAATTATGTTTCCTCTTTCAATCTAGTGAGGATATTAGAAAATTAGCTATGAAATTTTTTAATATTAACTTTATGTTTATAAAACGATCTACAAATATAACAATCTATTGTGAAAGTGAAATGTGAAAGTCTATCTGATCGCAAGTCTGTTTCTTTGTTGATTATAAGGAGTGGATGTTTCACACTTTCACTTTTCACTTTCACTCTCTTATTTTCATTTCTAATGTAATTTCTCGGTAGGGATAGCAACGGGACGGGGGCGGGAACTATACTCCCCGTCGCCGTCCTCGTCCCCATCCCCGGTGGAGAATTGAAAATAGTCCCCATCCTCGTCCCCGTGGTAAATTTGGCGGGGACGGGGATTCCCCATTCCCGATCAATTTTTAGTCAAAAATCTTAATTTAGTGTAATATTTAATTTTAAAAACAAAAAACTTAAGTACTAATTTTTAAAAATTAACACACACACACACACACACACACACACACACACACACACACACACACACACACACACACACACACACACACACACACACACACACACACACACACACACACACACACACACATATATATATATATATATATATATATATATATATATATATATATATATATATATATATAGGGGTGATCACATGTGGTCATGTTGTTAGGTGTGGTCGTGTGGCGGAATTTCAGAATACACCAATAGTTAAGTAAGATATACACCATCAACGTCAGGAAATGCACCACAAAAAAGACACAAATTAGGTACGCATCACCAACAACACACCATTAGGTGTGAGTAAAAACACCATACAATGTTCGGAAATACATCATTGGGGTTGGTGAGTTATATAGTGTATTTTTTGGGTCTGTTGTGTATTTTTTGGTATTTTTTTTTTGCATTTCATTATGGTGTGTTTCCCTTACACTGTTGATGCATGTTGTTAACATTGTCAGTGTATTATGAAATTTCGCCACACGACCACACCTAACAACATGACCACATATGAGCATTATATATATATATATATATATATATATATATATATATATATATATATATATATATATATATATATAGAGAGAGAGAGAGAGAGAGAGAGAGAGAGAGAGAGGTTCTGGATTAGGCGATGACCTATCCTTAGTGAGGACATGAGGACTAATCTAGATCATTCATTTTGAGTGATCTAAAGGCTATGACAACAAAAACGCTTTGCCAAAAAAGTGGTATAGATGCACAACAATCACACTATGAATGCACAACAATCACACTATGAATGCACAACAAACTGGGACAGAATGCACAACAAACTGAGAATCAATGCACAACAAACTAAGTACGAATGCACAACAAAATGAGTATGAAAAATTAAATTCACTGCATATAATTAAATCACAGTCGTTGGCTTAATTAAATGAAAGGATCAGATTAGTACTCACGGCATCACCTAAGGATAGGTCCTCACCTGATTCGGTATGTGTGTGTGTGTGTGTGTGTGTGTGTATATATATATATATATATATATATATATATATAATTTATTTATTTATTTATTTTAATTATAATAATTATTCGGATATGGGGCGGGGTAGGGAGGGTATCCCGTCCCCGTCTCCGTTCCCGCTCGGGAATTTCAAAAATTCTACGTCCCCGGCCTCGATCTCCGAAATTTTTCTCCTTCTCTGTCTCCGTCCCATCCACCACGGAGACGGGAATCCCCGACATGAGCGGGACACATTGTCATCCCTATTTCCCGAGAAACTTATTAAAATATCATTGTTTGGTGTTAAAAAAACAATATTTTTAAGTTGGGGTTAAATAAATGAAGCAGAAAAGATAAAAAAATAAAAATGGGGGTAGTTGGCTTATAACGGTCAAATTTTGCCGGACTGCATTTGCATTTGCACCTGAATCCATTATTGAACGGGGTGGGATTTGAGCTGGAAGCTGGTATCAATGGCGACGCTATTATCATGTACCTTCAAATCCGTGAAGCCCCATCATCCTGTTCCCAAACCCTCTCCTTCCTCAACACCTTCAAAATCTTTAACCATCAAATCATCGCAATCTCCGTCCTCTTCGTCACCGCCTAATTCAGCATCAAAATCAAAATCGCGGTGGTCGGTGTACTTGATCCTTTCCACCAATCCGCCCATCAAAACCTACGTCGGCGTCACCACCAATTTCTCTCGCCGGTACTTTTTTTTTTTTTTTTTTTTAACTTAAAGTATGCAGTGTATGTTGGTTTGTCAAAATTGGCAGCTTTCGAAATGATTATTTGTTTCTGAAACTTCCCGTGCACTCACACAGAGATGTCTTTGAATCTGGATGGAAAGTGGGTTTGGGTCTGCTTTTTGATATGAAGTTTAAAAATGGGATTTTGATAAAAAGGTCTTACTCATTTGATGGAATTCAATCAGGTTAAGAGTGGTAAAGCATTCTGTGTCGATTAAGGAAAAACAAAAACTGAATTTTGGGATTAAATGAAGGTTGCAAGTTGCCTGATAAATATAGAGGTTTAGAGTATGCAAGGGAAATTTACATGAAAGTGAAATGGAGAGATGTCTGACTATGCCTATAATACTTGTAGTTAAATATCATATCAGTTTCATTGTCCCACAAGTTAGAAACTGAACAGTGAATTATGACTTGCAATTTAACAAGTTCTTAATTAATTACAGACTTCTGAGGCCAGGTTAACCATGGATTACATATTTCCAAGTGAAGCTTCTAATATATATAATTTTTTTTTTTTTACGTTTCTATGTTCTTGGCTAGATATCCGATTTCAAAAGATCTTGGTACTTTAGACAAGTTCCAGATAAGAATCACTTAATGGAATGATTAACAGTGAGAAGGATATATTTATGTGCCAATGGAAAGTTATTGACTGAGTTGATGCTTATGAAATTAGAAGGATTAATAGGAAAAGTTTATGTCAAGGATGACAGTTGATCTTCTAAGACACTCTGGTAGGTAGCTTGATATTACAAAAAGTAATTTCTGGCAATTGAAAAAATTAGACATAGACCTAATTGAAGGATTACATGGAGGTTGTATGTTTGCTTCACATTTCTGGTTAAAACTACTTCTCGAGTTCTCGTACTATATTTTCATCATCTTGTATTCAGTTTTGGTCACTTTTATTTCCTTCGTATCATGTAGTTTGAAAGAACATAATGGCGAGCTTAAAGGAGGTGCAAAAGCTTCCCGTGCAGGAAGGCCGTGGATATGTGCTTGCCTTATTCGAGGATTTATGGACAGAAGTGAAGGTACTTGTTTAAAGTAGATTCTCTTTGCAATGTGTTTTTTATTTTTCCCCACTTATCTGAGAAAGCCCCTTCTATTAATGATAATTACCTAGAATTGTATGAATTCATTAACTTAGCTGTACAGGTCTGATAACATTTCATGTATTTGATATGAATAGGCCTTAATGGTTTTGAGTGTTGTCTTTCCTGAGAATTCATGCAATTAATGGAAATCGTAGTTTCCTTCTTAACTTCTTTACATTAACCCAAACACAATAAATAGTTGCTAAGAGTAGTTACCGAAATTACCAAAGTTTGGTTTAGCTTTTGAATCTGTTTATCAAAAGAATTATTTTATGTAGCTTCCCTAGTATGAATATTCAACTAGCCTTATGTTCTGCGTGTGATGTTTTTTCTCCTCTCTATTTCGAGAAAAGTAGATTTATTTTCCTATCTCACTTTATTTGTAGCTTGTGCATTTGAGACAAGATGGAAACAACTTTCAAGGAAATTGCCATGTAAAGGAAAGGGTAACGAGGAGCAGAAACTGGAAGAAACTAAATCTGTTCTGTTATTGAAACACAGATACGCAGCTCTAGATCAAGTTAAGAATTCAATTGATTGCAGTCACTTAAAAATTGTCTGGCATTCTAATCCTTATTGACTTTAGCTTTTCCGCCAAAAAAACAGTAAGACAATGCATTGTCATGTATACATTTGCATACATGACTTGGGGAAATTCTACAATATGATACCTCAAATTTAGTGTTACTACAACATTTCAATCTTGATACTATATGTTCCTTAGTTTGGTACTATATGCTCTTTAGCTTTGTACTATAAGTTATCATGATATGTACCAAACCGAGGACTATGTAGTATTAAACTGAAGAGCTTATAGTATCAAAACTACAATGTTGTACAGAGTAGTAACAGAAAACTTGAGATATCATACCTTAAAGTGCACCGTAGAATTTTCCATGAAATTTATTGCAGTTTGTATTAGGAGGAACAGCAGGCCACAGCTATTGATATACTTTATTATGTAATTATTCCTAGATCTTTGTACATGCAGGAGAACACTTGCAGATGTGCCCTACATTAGATACCCACCTTCCAAGAATATATATATGTATGTTGTACTTTTTCTTAAACCATTGAAGTGTCAATATTACAATATACCAGTTCTTTTATTTTCCCTGTCCTAAAGAGAATTCTTTTCCTTTTGAGATTGACTTGTGCAGTGTGTTGCAGTTTTTATAATGGTCTTTTCATAAAGCAAAAAAAAAAAAAAAGAGTACTTTATTTATTTTCTCTGGTGCAAGTATTTATGGGGTGTTTGGGTGGATGGAATTGTAATTTCATGATAAATTACCATTTTACCCTCATGTCTATTCATTTTGTTCCAAGATCAGTGAACAGGCTCGCTCATGCTATGGCTAGAGCTGCTCGTTCTTCTACTGGTCCTACTATTTGGTTTGATTCTAGTCCTCCTTGTATTGAACTTTTGAGTTAATAAAGTTTCTGGTATTATTTTAAAATATATATATATATATATATATTATAGAAGTGCATTTTAGTCTTTATTCACTTCTACCTTCTCAATTCCCAATCATTCTATTCCTTCCTACCAAACAATGTAATTTAAATTTTCACTTTATTCTTTTCCCACAGAATTACAATTCCTTTCCCCCTAATTCCCTGATTCCAACCAAACGCCCTGTTAAGTTCTCTGGGGATACTATAATTGTCATGGATTAGTCACATTGCAGCCAGGCTCTTGTTTTTTATCATATTTTTAGTGCATTACCAGAATGCCTTGTCCTCTGTAAGTTAACTGTTGAGAGTAGATTTTATGGCATGAAAGGTTGCAATGTGGATTGCTGTGCCCAGATAGCTGAGTTGTTTACATCATTACATACTTGTAACACTGCAGTTAGTAGACATTGTCTGGATGCTTGTTTCTTTACTTCCAATTCTTTCTTCTGTGTGGTCTGGTTCATCTTTTGTTTGTTATCTATAATTTGCCTAATTGCCCCACATCTTCCCAAGTTCCTTTGGTTTTAAACTTGCACTGGAAAACTGTGGTCCTATACTTCTTTTTTGGATAACCGAGATTTCCGGCTTTGCCAGACTATATCCTGGACCCCATGAATCTGTCCACTCCAGAGTCCAACCCAAACGGACAAACCCGAAACCCAACCCCCCAATGTTTGTGATAAGAATCGAATCTCTACCCTGCAGTTGGAAACAAGTCCTGTACTTTTTTTTTGGATAGCTCAGGTTTCTGGCTTTGCCGGACTATATCCTGGACCTCATGAATCTACCCACCACAGAGTCCAACCCAAACGGACAAACCCGAACCCAACCCCCCAGTGTTTGTGATAAGAATCGAATCTCTACCCTGCCGTTGAAAACAAGTCTTAATTGAAACTTTTGATATGCTAGACCAATACCCTAAGGGGGGTGATGTGGTCCTATACTTGATTTACATTCTTGTTTTCCATTGTACAACTGTTCTGGTTGATTGTTTGACCTACCAGTTTTCTGTGACAATGACTGCCCACTCAACTGTCATTGAACACAATTAACAGATGATTCTGTTCACTTTGTGCTATTTTTCTTTGTATTTTTGTCAATTTTACACACTTTTGTTTGGTTTGTTCAAAATCCAGATCAGGTCCTCTTTGATAAGCTGTTTCCTTGAAGGCTGATGATCTGAATCTGTTTTTCTCGTGGATATAATCATCATTATGAATTGCAACTTTTTGGACATTTAGTTCCACTTTTCCCCCTCAATCTTGAAAGTAGGTGTCTTTTCACATTCCTAATAAGTGCTATGTAATGATTTTATTTGATTGATTCAAAGTGTGCTATAAATTAATTCACAAATAACTAATATATGAAAAATTGTGATACTTATTACATATTGAGTAAAATAAAATAATATTATATTCTTGTATGGGGGAGTAACATTAGGATTAGAGAAGAATTACAAAAATCTAGACTAAGACGCACCGACAACATAATCAAAAAAATCAAAATCTGAGTGAGAAATGAGAATGATTCGTTAGCAAAAATGATAGAATTTAAACCCTTTAGAATATATGGTGATAATGATCAATCAGCAAAAGGAATCAAATCTAAACCCTTCATAATATATGCTCCACAAATTATAAATCTGGGTAAAAATGATCAATCAACAAGAAAGAAAAAAAAACCCTTCAAAATATGCTTAATTTGTAAATTTGGACAAAAAATCAATTTGTACGAAAATTAACTTCTCTATTATTAATGTGACATTTAATTTATGGTCAAAATCTTATTTATTATTTATTCAAACGAATCTTCCATATTGCTTTTTCACCTTCTCAAAATAGTATCCACTTTTGTCCAAGTCAAATCAGCTTTTCAGTTGTAAAATATGCATTGGAATGACTCCTTGCCTAAACTTTTAGCTAATATTGCGGAGAAAAGGTAATTTGTAATAATATTTAAATTGTTTTTTTGATTTGCTCAAATTTGGATCCCAATGTTACCCTTTCACATTGATTAGAGTAAATCTCACTTCAACCTTTAAATTTCATAAAAATACTAGAAGAAGTTCCAAAAGCATGGGGTTAGCACATCGATTTAGCATACAGTATTTACTATTTAGAAAAAGAGATTAATGTTCGAATTTCAGTAACGATAATGTGAAGATTATGTTTGAAGTAGTCTTTTGTGACATCAACATTTAGCTCTGTCTGCTGAGTTATATGCTCTATTAGGTCGGAGTGTGGAGGCCTTTGGAGTTGGAGATTCAACTTTTTGGGAGAAAAATGATGATTGGTTGACATTGATGACTGTCATGGTAGGTTTTTTTTTTTTTTTTTTTTTTTTTTTTTTTTTTTTTTTTTTAAATAAATAAATTAATTATTTTGAGTTTTTAAAAAAATAATAAATTATGTGGAATCCTACCTGACGGGTGATTTAGTAGTAATATGGTATTATAGGTCAAAACTCAAAATGAGTTAATTGCATTGTTTTGACAAGTTTAAAGGCTCAACTGAAAAAAAAAAAAATAGTTTGAGATTTAATTACATTTTAGTGTATAGTTGGAGGATCTATTTGATCATTTTTCTAAATAAAAAAAAAATCTATTTTGAGCATAGAAGGATTGAACAATCCTTTTTAAAGTTTGTTTTTGACAGTTCAAGTTATAATTTTTTTTATTACAGTCTAATATATTCATAGTACTTGTTCATACCTGCAACCTTCCTTATGGAAATCAATAGTAATGTTGAGCATATAATATATATAAATATAAATGTGTAATCCAACTATCAACTTAGTCTTTTAGTTGAGATGGAACACATGTTTCAATTTTTGAGATGAAGCACATGCTTTAATTTGACCATCAGACTTATTAAAAAAAAAAAATTAATTTTCTGATTTAGAACTAGATGATTAATTTTAGTTAGTTGTAAAAATTCAAAGAATTGAACATGATGTGAAATGAATGTTAACCGAAATTGTCCACCCTGTATATATAATTCATTCAATTAAAATCATAGACATATCCAACTCTCTTTGGACCACCAGAAACTAAATTAAGGAAACTAAAGCAAGCAATATTTTAAGATGGGTAGAATTGAATCATGTTTAGTAAGATATGTAACAAGTGCATATTTTGTCTATTTCTTTATATGGAAAGCAACACAACAAGTAGGGGACTCCTATCTCCCATTCTCCCTTCTCCAATAACTGGTGGTTGGAACTCATTAAATATTCTTGGTGTTTGTCTTCATCTCACCTCCTTCAATTCCATTTTGTTTATAATAATTATTGAAATAAAATCACTCATCTGAATCCCAAAGGACCATTTTAATTTGCCTGACAGTTTACCTGGGCTGACATTTATGTTTTTGCAGTTACTTGCCAATTCATCAGTTGGGTTGGTACGACAGTCTACCAAAAAAAAAAAGTAAATCAACTTAGGTTAAACATAGATTCTTGACGGTTCAAATCAATAGGGCAAGGGTTTGAACTAACGATCTTATGTGGTTACACGTGTATATCTCTTATTATCTTAGCTGGGGTTAATTCGAATTTTGCTTTTTTTGATATGCGGAGAGCTATATATTTGAGGGGTTTATGATTGAAGCATGGTGAATTCAAATGGTCAATAGAAATAGTTAACTTTTTAAAAGTTGGGACAAAAATAAGTAAAATTACTTACTCTAAAATCTCTAATATGTTTGAGGCAACATATGTGAAAAAACACATTATGTAAATGCTTGTCTCAAAGATAATTTCTTCACTTAGCCTATCCTTATTCCTGTAATACTTTCTCACTTCCAAACATGTTCGGTCATACTTTTATATCATCAAATTTACAATTTCTTCACATCCCTATAATATTCTCTCACTTTCATATTATATTATAAATATAATAACAAAATAATAATAGTAAAATAACTAAAATAAAAATTAAAAAAAAAAAAAAGTACACAAAAGGGTACCATGCAAGTATGCAATAGCCTTTTGCAGGTATGCAAACTTTTTTTTTTTTTTTTGAAAACATTTGCAAACTTTCTTAATCAAGCCACATGGTCTGCAAAGTTAAGTAAAAACAAATTAAACAACTTTATGAAGCCACTTCATAGTCCACATCATCTTGCAATTGACAACATTTATGGGATAAGAACAATAACCTTATATGTTATTGGACTTGATTTATTTATTAATAACAATTAGTATCAACTTTTATCAACGTGAATTAGAATGAAACTTTTGTTTGAACCGTAATAGATAAATATTGATTAAATTCATTAAGCACATTAAATCAATATTTAATTATTTATGGGCTTTTTCAAAGTACTCAATCTATTGCTCCGTATTTGATTTATGAGAAAATTTGTAATCGCTATCGGAAAGTATGCTTTGACGTAACCCTAACCAGTTTGTGGTAAATCATTATAGGTTGTCCATAACTTATCGATTCAATCGAAGATCAATAGACAGTCCCCTAGAAAGTTGAATTTGAAATCTTTACTAAGGTAACTATTCCACCTATCTCCGTTCCCTATCTTTTCTACTACACTATTAATGGACTATCATTAAATACTAAATGCAAGACATATTATCCAACAAGATATCTATGATCTTATGACACATAATTGTAGCAGTTTACCAATTACCAACTGACCATGCTGGATTAAACCTTGGTTTACAGTTGTATCTCATTACCATCCCCCCCACTGCACTGCAAGTTTGACAGTTCTTGAATCTTGACCTAGCCCATTGCAAGGGGAGACTCACAAAATTCATTTCCGCATTTAATTACCCCTCTGAAACTCATAATTGTATTTTGTACAGTACTATGTTACACACTATCAATTAAGGATCTCAAATCTCAGGATTCCTTCCTTTCCCACTTCCATACTTTCATAGACCCCCCACAATAAATACATCAAGATTTAGCCATTATCAATTTATCATCCCACTTCACAGTCCACACCAAGCTCCAAAACAGTAAAAAAACCTTAAAATTCCAACAATTCTTGAATATTGTAACCTCATGTTTATGTGTTCATAGATGGGTTATCTTTCATGTAAAGCCGAATCATCTGTTTCAGTCTCAGATTCCAAGAAGACCCATCACAAGGAGAAGCCTGTTAAAGTCCAGGAATTCAGTTACAGTGATCTTGAAGCCGCCACTAATGGCTTCTCCGACCAGAAGCTTCTTGGGAGGGGCAGCCATGGCCTAGTCTACAAAGGGGTTCTCCGCAATGGCCGTTTGGTCGCCGTTAAGAAATCCTCCAGAGGCTCTAGTTCCACTCCCAGGCTCTCTTCTTCCTCGTCGCCGTTCGACAACTGTAACGAAGTGGAGAACGAAATCGATATTCTGTCGAAATTGCAGAGCCCCCGGCTGGTAAATCTCGTCGGGTTTACCACCGACGACCACGACCACGACCGCCGCCTTCTGGTGGTGGAGTTCATGGCGAACGGGACTCTCTACGACGCCCTCCACGCGGATTCCCGCCCGCCCGGGTGGGGGAGAAGGGTGAAGATGGCGCTCCAGACGGCAAAAGCAATCGAGACCCTCCATTCCTCCACGCCGCCGGTGATTCACCGGGATATCAAGTCGGCAAACGTGTTGATAGACCGGAATCTCAACGCCCGGTTGGGCGATTTCGGGCTGGCATTAAGGTGCCAAGATAATGACTTTAGGTTAAGGTCCACCCCCCCTGCTGGAACAATGGGGTATCTTGATCCAGGCTATATAACCCCAGATAATCTGAGCACCAAGACTGATGTTTTCAGCTTTGGGATACTCTTATTAGAGATAATCAGTGGCAGAAAAGCCATTGATGTGGCTTACTCACCCCCTTCCATAGTGGATTGGGCTATTCCTTTGATCAGGAGAGGGAAACTCATGGCTATATTCGACCCGAGAATCCATCCTCCCAAAGATCCTCTAGTGAGGAAGCAATTGGCTGTTGTGGCAGCCAAATGTGTGAGATCTTGCAGGGAAAGGAGGCCAAGCATGAAGGAGATTGTGGAGTGTTTGGGTGAGTTAAGTAAGGTGGTGCCCCTCCATTCTTGGAATGGTTTTGCCAATCCTTGTTTGATGGTTGAGACTACTGTGGGGTTGAGAAAGGTGGGTGAAGAAGCCCAGAGCTTTGATGCCAAATTCTCAAAGCCATTGAGGAATTCGCGGCGAGTTTACTCTGATTTGGGATCCCGGAGTAATCTGATGGAGTTAATGGCTGGTGGAGACGATTTCGTGCCCAAATCCTCCTCACAAAAGGGCTCTAGTTTGAGATGTAAAACTGGGAATTTGGTTGGCAAAGGAAACCATTCACCATTCCTTGGTTTGAAGCAATGATGAGTGCATAATCACCAGCCCAGTCTTTAATGATCAAAATCATTATATATGCTCTAACTGATGCATTTAGATCATTGCAGCTAATGAAACTCTATTTTGGTCTGCAGAATGTTAATCTATTTGTTTAGCTACAAGCATAAATGGTGCTAATTAAAGCACAGTGTTAGTTTCTGTACCTTTTGGTTGGTTTTGGTGTTCAAGGTTTAAGAATAAAGATGTTTTCTTGTGATGCATTGTTGTCTGTTTTTCATCCATGTTGATTGCAATACACAATAGTGCAGAGTGCAAGAGCAATAGAATCAAGATATGGTTTGATGACACATAATATAATAATTACATGTACAGAATATATCAACTATAGTTACAGAATCTGACTTGATAATTGATGACACACTAACACACATAATATGATAGTTACAGGTATAGGAACTATCAACTGTAGATACAGAATGTGTCATCTATAGATACAGAATCTAAATGTTATTTTTAGATCAGTGTCTACACTGTAAGGTAGACCATGATCCATGGTATAATTTGCCAGATTCTAGAATGTCCAATAGCAAGAGTCGAATATGTAATTGAAGTTGACAGAGAGACTCCCGCTCATGCCGAACATGTATCAATGACTCAATGTGGAATTGTGGATTAGAAATGACACAAAATATTCAAGAGAAGTTCTTGAACATAACAATAATGTTGTGTGCTTAATTAGTGAACCTTGAATAGTGAAAAGGAAAATGATAGATAATAGTAGGTGATGGATATACTAGATCTAGCTAATTCAAGAAGTCTAGAACGTATGGTACTCTAAGGTTGGCCTAGGAGGGTCGGACCAAGAAGAAGGAGTCGAGTTAGTGGTTTTCAAAACATGAAAATAACTGATAGTTGTTATGGCTATTATGCGCACCCGCTTTGCTCGAAGAGCATCCAAATAGCGCAGGACATTATCAAAAGAGCCATTAGATTTTTTGTATAAATAGTTCGGTTCTTGTTTTGTGACGATCAATGACAGAAATGTGTAGTGGGCCAAGAGAATTTCTGTAAATGTGTGCTGACTTTTTTTTTTTGACAGAAATATGTAAAACTCAATTACGACTTGTGTTTTTGGAGTTGTCCCGGGTGTATTTTTTTTTTCATTATTTACTCAAAACGCAAGTACGAGTTGCGTTTTTCGTATTGTATACGTTCAACGAATATGCCAAATGCGTTTTCATGTGATGTATCGAATACGTTAAAACACATTTGGGAGATGCGTTTTACGTATAATACTTTAAAATACGAAAAACGCAACTCCGAAATGCGGTCTATTTACCGGCGGTAGTCTGCCGGAATTGTGTGTAAAACGCAAGAATCACTTGCATTTTTCGAATTATACGTAAAACGCAAAAAGCACTTGCGTATTACGAATTATTCCGGTGCCGGTGACTTGGTATTCTAAAACGCATTCTCCAAGTGTGTTTTGTGTGGAGTCCTTTCCGGAATGCAGATTATACTTCCCGCAACTTTAGCAGTAATATGACCGGAGCTCAACAAGAATACTCAGGAAACTCAGCGCTCGATTGCAAGAACACTGACGCCAATGAGCCGCCATCTCCGGCTTATCTCTACACCTGCAACGGGCAGCTGTTCACTTGCAGGGCGTTTCTGATCTTCCGGGCAAGGTTTCCGTTCAACACTGTCCCCGCCATTGTAGCTCTCCTGTCATCCAACGCCTCAGAAATAGCACGACTGAACAACGCCGCCTCAGCGTTTTGTGGTTTTCCCGGTCGCCGGAAAGCGCCGGTATAAAAAACCAGTAAACGCAACTTGCTTTTGCGTTTTCGGTATAATACGTAAAACGCAAAAATAAATTGCGTTTTCGACTATACCGTATCCCCTAGAAAACGCATTAAGGTAATGCATTTTACGTATACGAATACGTAAACGCAACTACTAGTTGCGTTTTACGTAAATACAGGAAAAAAAAAATACACCGGGACACAACCAAAAACGCAACTCCCAAAGGAGTTTTGCACATTCATGTCAAAAAAAAAAGTGACACATTTTGAGAAATATCCGCTGTTGACTACACATTTCGGTCATTGATCCGTTTTGTGAGGACATCTTTTTATCTCTTTTTCACACTTTCTATTATAATACTCAAGCAATCAATAACAAGTAAACAAGATTTCTTTATTCTTTTATTTTCTTTGCATTCCAATTATTCTTAATCTATTATTTGAGTTAATTAATTATTAATTTTGACTTCCAAATTAATTTTCTCCATCAACAGGTGTGGTAACTATTATAGGCCCGTCCAATAAATTATATGCATTTATGCACTAATGTTTACATTATAAAAGCATTTAAATATTATTATATATTACCTTTTGAATATTTGTTAGCGAACACTAATCATATAATTATCTTATAATCATAAAGTTGATGTGTCATGTGTAGATTATATTAACTTGTGACAATAGACCTATTCCAACTAGAGGAGTATATTTGTTGATATTGGCAACGAATTACAAGACGGCCAACATCCGCACAAAATGGCCTTCCTCAACCTTTTGCAACATATTTTCGAGTCATCCACCAAACCCATCTCCCACCGTACACTGCACCATTAATCCAGAAATATTCCACACACATTTAGAATAATCACACAACCCTAGAATGTTTACATTATAAAAGCATTTAAATATTATTATATATTGCCTTTTGAATATTTGTTAGCGAACAATAATCATATAATTATCTTATAATCATAAAGTTGATATGTATGTGTAGATTATATTAACTTGTGACAATAGACACACATTCCAACTAGAGGAGTAGATTTGTTGATATTGACAACGAATTACAAGGCGGCCAACATCCGCACAAAATGGCCTAGTCTTCCTCACCCTTTTGCAACATATTTTCGAGCTGAGCCATCCACCAAACCCGTCTCTCACCGTACACTGCCCCATTAATCCAGAAATATTCCACACACATTTAAAATAATCACATAACACTAGAGTATGCATGATAATTTCATTTTGGACACCACACAAAGGGCATGTTAGAGGGACATCTACCCTCCCATTATATAAGTTAGATGTAGTGGGAAGCACATCACTCACATCTCTCAATCCAAAAATTTTTCACTTAGGAAACTTTTAACCTCTAAATTTTATTCCATGAAGAAAAGCCATTAGGGCACGGGGTAATGGTCCCCATAATATCACGTATCATCAATTCATCATAGACAGAACTTGAAGGAATTTTCATATAATATAGTCTCAAATATAATTGAAGTATTTTATTTGATTATATTATATTCAAATCTTATAATGTTGAAAATTCAATACATAATAAATACTCCATAGTTACTAATATTTGATCCAAGTCATTCCTAACCTATTATGGGACCTTTAATTAATGATAGATGCTAATTAATCTGTCCTTTTCATTCCCTAATTTTAGGAATGCAATGGTTGAAACTTTCTTACATCATATCCCTGCATGCTCACTAATACTCAACATACAAATTCAACACTCAATCAACTGCACATCCTGCGTATTGATTTACACATCCAAATCAGATCAAAACAGCATCCCATCCCATCCCATCCCATCCATCCATATTTTTCATCTTGATAGATCTATCGAGTACCGATCCTTCTTGCGGTGTGGACATGCAGAAGATGTTGTAATGGAGACATACCTGAGAGAGAATTTTGACGTTGAGCCGAAGCGGCCATCGGAGGAAGCACTGACGAGATGGAGAGCCGCCGTCTGGCTCGTCAAGAACCCTCGCCGGAGGTTCAGGATGGTGGCCGATCTCGCCAAACGCGCACGAGCCGAACGCGATCGCAAGAAAATGCAGGTACGTACCGTGCATCATCTCATCTCGATCTACCTCGTTTTTGTTATTCCTCCAATTTTTCAAAAAAGGAAATGAATGCATGAATGAATAATGTCATTTTCTATAGTTTTTTTTTCGGAACTTTGAATATATATAATAATACAATTGCATATCAGATTGTCGGAAAATAAAATTAAATAACATCTATAATATCTTATGTTCTCTTAGAAACAATGAATATAATACTACCATTAGCTAGATGCATTTTTGTCAATCCGGCATTTGAATGGTCATTTAGTCATCCGATTGGTACCGGAGGTATTCGATAGTGTGATCATGTAAGCTCACTACCTCAAATTAAGAATTTTCATTCATAATTCTTAGACTGAAATTATCCCAAAGTATGGTATTGTCAAAGTGAGGTGGAAGATGACATGAAAACATAATTTTTTCAATTTTATTTTTATGTCAAATGGCTTACAAATTTTCTAAGCCATTTGCTTGGCAGCTTTTGCTCGGCAAAAGCATTTGCAAGCCGGTTGTTTGGCAAAAGCTGCCTTTATTTTTTTTTTTTTTCTTTTATTATTATTATTATTATTATTATTTTATTATATTTATAATATGATATGAAAGTGGGATTCATTTTTAAAAGTGGGAGGAATTTGATAAATAGTAAAGAATTTGTAAATTTAATGATGTATGTGAAAGTAAAACTCATTTTAACAAATGAGAGAGATTTGCAGGGATAATGTTAGCTTTGCAAGTTAAATTTAAAATTTTGTGATTACTGAATTAATTATATATCTGACCAATTTAAGTATGGATTGTCCTATATAGAGATTATATATTATATATTATGGTCATAACTATGGACAAAAACATCATTTTCCCGCAGCTTTAGAATCTTCTTCTTTTGGATTGCTATTGACTTTGATCCAAACAGCATTAATTTAATCTGTTTTCCTGTGGAAAAGTCTGGGTGAATGAATGTATGAAGACCGCATATTCTATTCTTCAATTACAAGGTAATGTGCCATTTCAACGTAGGAAATTTCTCGTAAATTGCATGCAACTTTTATAACTTAGCTTCTAAAAAAAAAAAAAAAAAAAAAAAAAAAAAAACGCAGACATGAGTGCAACGTTAAGTTCATGAACGTTGAACTCGTACCAGTCAGGGTTTCTGCACTGGAAATTTCAGCCTCCGCCGCCACCACGGCGGAGTCAAAAACTGGTTAATTACATAGTGTGTGTGTGTGTATATATATATATATATATATATATATATATATATATATATATATATATATATATATATATATATAAATCATATGTGTATATTGGCTCATATAAGTAAGGGAGTGAAAATCTACAGTGCTGCGTGTATCGGTATAAACTAAAAATGT